GCGCTCGCACGCGGCGTCTGCACCGATGGCGCGGGTGCGATGGACGCCACGGGCGCGCGCCGGTTTTACAGAGACGTGGTGCGGTTGTGATTGCGAACGTAAACGCCTGGGATAGGCAGTCATTGTCAGCAGTCCAGATTACCGCACGGCCGAACTGAATTTGGCGCGGGACGTGGGGAAACGCCACGATGCATGTGATTACCACGCGGGATTGCATCTCATTGACCGGTGCCAATCAAAAACGCCCGGGGCGACCCACCGCGTGATTCCCTTCCAAATGCATGACACATGCATTTACAGCTGCGGAATCACGGCACTTGCGGCGCCGTGGTGCGCCGCATTTGTCTTTTTGGGCGTGGGCTGCAGCGTCGCGCCACGCGCAGTGTTTACCGCGCGCGCTGACCCGTTTCCGCGGGCGGCCGGCGCGCCAAAACGCCGCGCGCGCCCCACTCGCGCCACCGATTTGGCGCGAGGCTCCGCGTGATCACCGTGATCGCGGTCGTCGGCGGGATGCGATCCCGTGCGTTGATGACGGTGATCGCGCTGTGTCGTGACGCGTGGCGGCCGTCCGCCGGGCCGAGTCGGCGATCTCGTGCCGGACGCCGCGCCGCTCGCCGCCAAAGTGGCGCGATTGCGGCCGGCGTGGCGCGGGCGGCGGCTCGCGTGTCGCGCGGCGGCCTCGGGCGCTTCCTCTGTGGGTGGGGCGTCACTGAGGGCGCGCCTGCCGCGCGGCTGATGGCGCTGTCACCCGCGCGCGCCGACAAAGGGGAGCTCTGGCCATGTGCGTGTGGATGTCCTGCCGTGTGTGAGCGATCGTCCGGTGGTGTCCGCCGCGATTGTCCAGTGGTGTCCGCTGTGATTGTCCGGTGGTGTCCGCTGTGATTGTTCGATGGTGTCCGCCGTGATTGTCCGGTGGTGTCCGCCGTGATTGTCCGGTGGTGTCCGCTGTGATTGTCCGGTAGTATCCGCCGTGATTGTGCGGTGGTGTCCGCCGTGATTGGCCGGTGGTGTCCGCTGTGATTGTTCGGTACGTGTGGACGGGGCACGATGCGCGTGGCGCAAACCGACCGCTTGTTCGGCATCCTCAGGAGGCGGGGATGGCAGTGGATATCGGCTGAAATTGAAAACTGGCGGAGCGGTGTTTTGATGTGCAGTGCGTTTGACATTTTAATGCCGATCGATGGCTCGATGTTCGGTGCGTTTGGCTTTTAATACCAATGTGTTTTGACATCCGGTGCGTTTGACTTTTGGCAACCAGCCAGCCTCACTTTAGGTCTGACGTCTTTGCAACTGCGGGGCTCATATTCCATTTCAAGCAGTGATGTTTTGTGAGCTGAGTGTGCGGTTGGTTTGGCGCCATATCTGCTCAAAGCTACGTCACTCTCTGAGTGTCTCTCTGCACTGAACAGTGCTGGGAAGGCGAAAAGACTCAGGAGAAGCCCGACCGGAAAGCCCACCGCCGGCAGCGGACGCACGTGAGCTCAACTGTCACGCTCGTGACGGGGTTTTGTGTCCACCGCCGCGCAGGGAACTCCGTGTGTGTCGCGTCCCAGACAGTGTCGTCGTGAGCAAACTGCCCGCTTTGTCTGTGACCTGTCGTGTCGTTTTTCCCTGTGATGTCATCTTTTCTGGGCTGGTCCTTTCAGCACCGCTTGAGGTTTGTCTTGGGTTAATAAGCGAATTTAAGATGGCTGATAACCATGTTATGTAATAGGGTCGATGGCTTATACCCAAATGTGGGCCGACACTCAGTCAAAGACGTGCAATCCGGGCATCAGTGATTTTATTTGTGAGACTGAGCTCGTGATTGGGCCTACCACAAAGTATTGTTGCATTGTCCTATTGTTGTATTGTCCTAGTTTTGTTTTTCAAGAACGAGCTGAAAATCCTAACTCCACAAAGAAAACGATCTAACAATAGCTAATCATTTGCAGATGAAATGTTGCACTGTTTGCGGTTTCGGTCCAGTGGAAACGCCGCAGCGCGCAAGCACACTACTACGCGCACGGTCATATTTGAAAGCACTACACACACTCTCATAGTTAAAAGTACTGCACACACGGTCATATTTGAAAGTACCACACACACAGTCACATTGGAAAGTACTACACACACTGTCACATTTGAAAGTACTATACACATTGTCATATTTGAAAGTACCACACACACTGTCATATTTGAAAATCCTACACACACTGTCATATTGGAAAGTATTACACACACTGCCATATTGAAAAGCACTACACACACTCTCATAGTTAAAAGTACTACACACGCTGTCATATTGGAAAGTACATTACACACTGTCATATTTGAAAGCGCTATACACACTGTCGTATTTGAAAGCACTAAGCACACTGTCATATTGGAAAATGTTACATGCACTGTCATATTTGAAAGTACTATATACACTGTCATATTTGAAAGTAGCGTTGATGCGCAACTCACCTCGAAGTCCGAAATTTTGGAGAATTTTTCAAGGTAAAGAGCGAACCTCTACTGAAAGGAGCGATGCCAAGTGAAAACCTTGAAGGACTGTAACCTTTTACGCATAACCTGAAAAGACACTTTCCGTACGGCCTGTCCCTTTAACCCTCACCCTGCACTCATGTCGCTTGAGCCGTTAGCCGATACGCAGATAAACTGGTGAGTTTAGAATGAAGCAGGACAGCAAGATGGCGTGTGGGCCATCCGGTCCAGCAGTCACTGCTCCTGATCTGATCTCACTGATCGTCACGCTTGGACGGGCCATGACGTCACGCTTGGACGAACCATGACGTCACGCGCGCTATGCTCGTTAGCGTAACGTTCCATGTCGTGCCACGCATCTGTCCATGTTTGCGAGTAGCTCGCCGGACGAAGCGCGATAAAGGCAGCTTCCTCGTGACTTGTGTTACTTTTGTGATCCAATACTTTCCATGTGATGGTGGCCATTCTGCCTTAGCGGCTTTCTCATAGAGTTTCAACGCTACACTGATACACGTGGATAGCAGTGTTTTTCCTTTTGTATGGTGAGATGAGTAGTTTTGATATACATGTGCAAATATCTTACGTATATATATATATATATATATATATATATATATATATATATCAGTTCTGTTGTGGGAAAACGCTCGCTTTGCTTGGTTAACACCTGGTGATATCCTGATCCGGAGCAGGCTTACTGAGCGCGCAGAAACATACTCGGTCTATCTCCTTGTTTTCCTTGATTATTCCATTTCTATACCAAAAAGGAGCAACATGCAAATCTGTTCTTTGTTGCAAGAAGCCATCATATAAATGACATGAATGTAGTAGACGATGGACTAAGAATGCAGAAATTATGACAGGGCATCTCGAAGTGTTCCTTTAACGGGGCGGAGGCAATGTTACGTTTTGCTGCCGTCTTGTCTGCTCAAGGGTGTTATAAAAACGTTGGCGTGTTTACCCGCGCATTGCTTCTGTCTCGCTGTGTCGTTCGGCTTCGCGTTGTCGCCCGAGGCACCTCACTGTCGGTATTTGTAGGTCGCTGCAGCTAATTTCCCACGAGAGTACAAGGCCGTCGCGACATACGCGTGTTTGCCACTTTGCTTGGAACCGGAGACGTGGAGAACACGTAGCGAGGCGGCGGCCTCCTTCATAATTCAGTTTGCTCTCCCTGGCGCGACATGTCAGTGACCAACGCAGTATGAAATATTTCAAAGGCCACTGTGAACTACGTGTCAAAAGCGGAACCAAACGACAATTAATATCGAGGTTATTAATTGGGGACAGCGTTCTATCTCTGTCTTCCCTGCTTAGCCGCTTGTGATTTTGTTTCGTTTTTCGGTCCCAGGTTCGTGTGCTATGTGCGTGTCTGGTGGACGTTATACCAAAGGCTAGGTGGTGTATGGGAGGGCTGGGTCCATCAGAATTTTGCGTTAAGTGGCATTCGTGGACAAAGTGTCAAGTGAATAACAGGCTTGTTTGGTTGGGAAGGGGTTCCAGCCTATATAGGCCGAGGCAGCAAGCGTGTTTGGGCTTAGGTCGTTTGGATGCAAAATTTATTACGCCTTTTGGGTGTCATTAAGTATCGGCTCTCGTTAAATCAATCAAAGTTGCCAACGGAAGCTGATAGTTTCTAGCTAGTCTGATCATGAATTTGACCCATTCAAAAAAGGTGCCAAATCATGCCAATAATCTGAGCTTAACCTCACATTGCGTACGACGCATTTGGCCTCATTGGCTTTGAGTACGTGAGTTGATGGTGTGTTTCTATCACTTAAACCCCTGTTATTCGTCTCCGCCTTTTTAAAATTGCTGAGCTAAGTGAACCAAACAATGGTCCTACGGTCAACCGAGTGGCATTTAACGTTCTGGACTCCTCGTTGATGGCGATGGCCGGCGGTCCGGGGATGATTTGTTGGCCGACTCCCTCCATGTTTAGCAGGCGTCGCTGACCTCCGGCTGTCTCAGAGTGACGCAGAAGTCGGCCTCTTATCGCCTCCATCTCTCGCCAGGTTCTTTTCGCTGGTTTTTCTTCGCTCAAGTTTGTTTCCCCTGCGCTGAGTGTAACGCCACAACCACGACGCGTGACGCCTGATAACACCCTGACCCCAAGCGGGTCACGACCCCTGACCCGCGATCTCTGACCTCACCGTGGCCTCTGACCTCGCCACACCGACTCTTGCCGACCGTGGACCTCTGATCTTCACACCCGATGCGTGACAGCGCCCTGACCCCATGCCTACCATGACCTCTGCCCCTGCCCTCGTCGTGACCTCTGCCCCTGCCCTCGTCGTGACCTCTGCCCCTGCCCTCGTCGTGACCTCTGCCCCTGCCCTCGTCGTGACCCTCTGCCCCTGCCCTCGTCGTGACCTCTGCCCCTGCCCTCGTCGTGACCCTCTGCCCCTGCCCTCGTCGTGACCTCTGCCCCTGCCCTCGTCGTGACCTCTGCCCCTGCCCTCGTCGTGACCTCTGACCCTGCCCTTGTCGTGACCTCTGACCGCCGCCCCGCTGACGCTCTTTCCGTGTTGCAGAGGGCGGCGCGCGCTGTCTCGGCCTCGCACCCCAAGTCGTTCACGCGAGCGTAAGTCCCGGGCTGGCGCCTGATCGCCGCGTATTTTTGGCCGCCCGGCTCAATAGCGGCGAATGGCGCCCCACTATTTCGGGGCCGGCGCCGTTGGACCGGCGCGCAAGATGCGCCGGCTTCGAACAGGCTGGCGAGCCGAGGTGGTGGGTCTGTTGCTGTTTTGACGACGTTTTGACATGTTTGACGGGTCGTTGGGAACGGTCAACGTCGCAGTGATCGAGAAATCGTGCGCTTCAGGGTTGGTGATGGTGGCGGTCGGGGTGTTAAACCCACAAATCAAGCCGCATGCGACCCCGCGCGTTCACAAAGCCAGGTGCATTTACGAGAGCGGCGACCAGGATCCAAACCGCGCCCCGCGCTTTGGTGGAGGGGGGAGGGGAGGCTCTCGCAAACGTGTGACATATTGCGGTTTCAACTTCGTCACCAGGATAAACCGTACTGTCCCACCCAATCGCGGCAACACGATAACCCCCACCCACGGGGTGCACTGCTCTGACCGGGTCAGTCTGGCTGGCCGGATGTGGTCCGGTGGTCGATGCTGTGTCGCTCAGTCCGCGACCGACGGTCGGCTCGCGTGCCGGGCCGATGATGAGGGCCCCGTCCCGCCGCCGAATCAGGCCCGTCACGCGGCTGACCCGGGCAGCGCGTCACGAGCGCGTCCGATGCATGTTGTGATCGGCTCAGATCGGGTGGGAATGTCGCACCGCGCCGCTGCCGGTGGCGCCGCGATGGTTCGGTGGAGTTCCAGTCAGAGCCATTTGGTTTTACTTTTGTGTCATGTTCGCTTCCGTCTCTGGGCGTAAACTGTGTTTACGTTTCGTGGCAGCTTCCAGAGACGCGATTAGCAGGGCGCACCTGCAGTATATCGCAGTGAATTTGTTCTGTTCTCGGAGGTGGCTGAGTAACACACCCCGCGCAGTAAGACCTGTTTTGAGTTTTCCCGGTCAAATTACGCATATGTCATTTGTGAAGTCGTTGGAAACGGCAAAACGTTGTTTCGAACGTTGTATGCTGCTGACGCTACCGCATCATACAGTTGAGCATATGGCACGTACATCGCACACGCCATAGCGTAACATGCAGTGCACCGCTGGAACGTACGAGTATCACAGTAGTTTGCTTGTACGTCAATCTCTCCATTAAAGTAGCGCGACGTCAATGCTCGACTGGCACTGTACCTAAAGCGGTGCCCTTGTAAGGGGCTGCAGCTCCCCGGCATCTCGTGACTGCAGCGCGTCTTGAAATCCTCAAGGGTGGTCTGCAGGCTTCGGGTAATCCTGCTGGCCGCAAGGATTCTGGGCAGCCACAGCACATACTTCCTGTGAACGATGCGGGCACCCGAACCCCACTACCATGGCACCTCCCCTCCAGACTCTGACTCTGAGTTTGACTCCGGCAGCGTGCTGGACGGCTACGACTCGGACTCGAACCTGGTGTTCCACCGGCACGAGCGGGAGCCGATCGCGCCTGAGGAGCAGCGCTCGCTCTACAGTCTGGTCCAGCGCGGCGGAGAGGTGCCTGTTGGAGGTCTGCGCAAGCCCGCCCCGCAGAAGCCCCAAGGTACGACCCGCGGCAGGGGCGGAACCAGGCCACCGCCAGGGGGGGGGGGGGGATCATGCCCTCAGCTCGTTTGTCTGGTCCATCGCGGCGGAGAGGTGCCGGTTGGAGGTCTGCGCAAGCCCGCCCCGCGGAAGCCCCAAGGTACGACCCGCGGCAGGGGCGGAACCAGGCCACCGCCAGGGGGGGGGGGGGGGGTCATGCCCTCAGCTCGTTTGAAGAAGCCGCCTTTTGCAGTACCAGAACGGGCGGGAGAGACTCTCTTGTAGGGGGTGGAGCCGTCCCGTTTCCATTGCTTTATTTTTGGGTCACTAGCGCGGTGTTTTGAGGCCCTGATACCACTACCGAGATTGGATGCTGGAGCCGCCACTGCTCGCCGGCTCAGTAACCGGGGTTACGTCAGACCACGGACGCGGCGGAACTGGCCAAGGGGAGAATTGTACCCCGGTGAGTTGGACCCCGGAATCTGTCCAGAGCAGAAGTCATTTTGCATATGATGGGCTCGAAATGGAATTCAAATGCCGGAGTGTTGGAGCTTCCGGCGCTTAGCGGTTCTTGATGGGGAGGCGACGAGAGTGGACATCTTGGGAAATAACTATCAAAGCATACGAAATGGGGTCCGGGGAAACTAAGAAAACCCAGGTAGATTGAAAACGTTCGAATCTAATCTCGGTTGAAGCGGCGTGGTTACGCCGAGTCATGCCTCTAACTTTGGAGCCGTCAACCTATATTAATCATATATTAATCGTCTGCGAATAGCGACGCCGTTTGCGTCTTTCAGCGTCGAGTGGGTCAGGGGGACCCTAATATATATATAATGTAATAATAAGTATGCCATTACTACGATAGCGTGACAGTTGCGCGACTGCGTTAATTACGAAGTTGAATACGGTAGTCTCGAGAACGGCGGCTTCGTGCCAGCACCCAAGCACAGCATACCTGGATGCCTGGACCCGCGTGACTTGGCGGCGCACGACGATAAAGTTTCCTTAAAACTACAGCGTGTGGGGGAGGGGGAGCCACAGCTTGTAACGGACGTGACCCAGCGGGGTCTCGCCATTGATCGGTGGAAGTTTCGACGCGACGCGGAGAGTCGTGTTGTCACGGGGGCTCAAACGAGTCCGCGTGGCATGCTGTGCCAATGAATGTTTAACGCGTCGGGCCCCCCGCCCCACGAGAACGGGGGCCCCGCCGGTCGACCAGTGACACGAACACGCCGCACGGCCGCGCCAGCTGGCTTTGGAAACCGATGCGGAAAGTGGCACCGAACGTTTCGTGTAGCTGGCCAGCACCTGCGCCACCGCCCGCAGCATGCGACGAGACCTCCGCGGAGAGACGCTGGGACTCCTCCCCGTGTGCGCCGGCACAGTATCCGCCGTCGTCTCAGGCGCCGCGATTTTCTCCGATGTTCGGCGGCGCGGTATCTAGCCCGGAGCGAACCCCGGCGCTGAGGAGCTGGTGCCGCCGCAAGTTGACTGCGGAAAGCCCCGGTCTCGGCGGCTCTGGACCTCCAATTCGCCCGCTGTCACCTTCAGGCCTTCAGACGGGGGTCGGAGTGCAGAGCCTTCTCCCAAACCACGTGCCCAGCCCAGATCTGAGATTTAGGTCCCGCCGGCGTCCGGGCTCAGGCCGCCATACAATCAGCTGACGGCGAGTCTAATTGAGCGCCGGGGGATGTGGGAAGGGGAGGGGGAGGGGCTGTCAGCGTCACCCAGGGGGGGGGGGGGAGGAGCGCGGAGCGGAGCTGGCAGCATCGGCTTCTGCCGCCGTGTTTGTGTTGACTTTGGTGGCATGGAGAATGCTCGCGGAAGCCTCGGCCCAGAGGCGGTGTCAGCAGCGCTGTCTCGTGTCCACGTACCCCTGCCGGGAGACTACTCAGGGTGGCGACGTCAGTCGGGCTCTATTGTCTCTGGGGCGAAATCTGACGCGATTGGGCGCCGTCTGAGCTGCCAGCGCAGCTTCTAATTCGGGCCCGGTTCGGGTTGAATAACCGCCGGTGGCCTGGCGTCGCCTCTGCACGGCAGCGCGTGCCAAGTTTGGGCTGGGTCCTCCACTCGGGAGAAGCGGCAGTGGTGGTCGCCCGGGCGCCGGCGCCAGCGGGATAGCGGGTGGTGTGGAAGTGAGCGTGAGGTTCGGAGGCGGGTTGTGGATTGCCGGCTTCGAGAATGAAACCGGTGAGGCTCGATAGTTCCATGCATCTGCGCTGTACTGAAAGTCCACATGTTCTGGTCCAGGTGTACGTGGAGATGTTTTCATCCCACAGTGAACGCCGTGAGGAATAATAATTTAGATAGCCATGCAGCGATTACTTTTCAACGGCGAAGCATTAAGGGGAGCGCGAAGAGGCGGCCGAGAGAGGGAATGCTCATCTTTATGATGAGACAAACGTTCACGCTATGGCGTTTTATTGGAAAAATCATCTTCGAAACCGGTTTTGCCCTCAGCTATAGAGACTATCCGCCCCATGTTTCCGCCCTCCCCCCCCCCCCCCCCCTGTTGATAAGCGATGAAATAAGCCATATTCCGCCAGACAATCAAGCGCATTAGAAGGAACTTGCTATTAAAAAGCTATCTGGTGTAATCCCTTGCCATGATATCCGGCGCAGAAAGCTCTCGCCGCTTTTAGACACATATGTTTTACATTCGCATCATGCCTCTGTACTTCGAGCAGACTTCTGTCACGAATAAGTGGTCACGTCAACAATCTGAAGCTCTCGGGCACTGACATGTTTACTCTCGATTTCTGCCCGTCAAAAATAGCCCGGGTGCGCAGTGCACGTCATAAAGCTGGGTCCACCCCAGCGCCGGTGAATTAAAACAGCGGCCGATTCGACGCGGCGACTCCAGATATAGCCCATGTTTATGCGACGGCACTGCTGCGCGCCGAACGAGGGGCCTGGACGCGCCCCTGCGGAGGCCTGGACGCGCCCCTGCGGAGGCCTGGACGCGCCCCTGCGGAGGCCTGGACCGCAGCGGCCGACGACGGCTCCTTTTGGGCTCGCGTGCTTCAAACACGTCTCGAAATGGCGCACATATGCTGTTCGTGCATATTGCCGATAGTTGCAGATGGGAAAAGTTGTTCAGTGCACTTGCGAGGAACATCATGCGTTTAGATAAGACAGTAGCAATAGCCTTATTCCTCGCGGAGCAACCAAGGAGAATGGAGAGATGGATCCATTGATATTTCAACAACATGACTCAATCGGAACAAATTCGAACTCTTCATTCTCCTGGTTTGCCTACTAGGAATAAGGATATTACTATTGTCTTATCGAGTCGCAGGTTATAGCAATACTATGTTTTATATTTAGTATCTGGATCCGGATTTAAGCAGCACTTTAGGTGACCTGCTTTAGATTCGTGGCCAACACCATGGCCCCGAATGGATACATGATGGTTACAAATACGACCTCTGTGCTCGCTAAAACTGCACCTGACGATACGACGAAGATACCACTCATGTGGAAGAAAACTAATTCACGGTCAGTACGGCCATTGAAACGCTTTGGTTGCTAGAAGCCCTCAGGGCATCACGGCCAGGTCAGAGGTGAGCCCGTGTCCAAAGGATCCCCTCGCGTAGCGAAACTACAATTATAGTCAAAGACATAGCCAAAAGGACAAAAGAGCGACTCCTCTTTGAGGTGCCCTGCTCTCCATGCGGCAGGCGCCCCGAGGGTGTCAACATTTATTCTTCATAGATGATTCTCTTAGCGTCAACATTTATTCTTCATAGATGATTCTCTTCGGAAATTGAGATACAAGAGTGATGTGTGGGGTTTAAGAAGTTTCCAAAAGGGTTTCAGGTCCTCCTTGCTGAACCGGTCATGCTGTCTACCGCGGGGCTTCTGCGTAAAAATTCCGTTGAATTGATTGAAAAACACATTTGGGCCACATGCCTATACCGTGGTGCCAACCTATATCTTCATTTTTTCCTTACTTTCTGTACTCAAGGGCTTAAGGAAGTGGTGATATATGTGATGTAACCCACATTGTATCGGTTGCCGAGGCCGATAGGGAATGCCGACGGAATGTTGACGGGATGACAGGGAACACAAATCGGTGTGTCGACGGAGGAGCGGGCGTTACTCAGAACCGGTCAGCAGTCCGGCTCGTGACCGACGGTCGCAGCTCGTCCCTGGTGAGGCGGTGCGGCACGAGCAGCGGAGTGTCATTTGGGGTGGGGAGAAGACGGTGTTGTGACGAAGCCGCTTTGTCCTATCCTTGGTCGGGAGGTTTCAAGGCGGGATATTTGGTTAGCGTGTTATGTGGGACCAGGCAGTCCATAAAACCGTTGAGATTTGGCGTCATTATGCCGGCGCTACCCCACGCACTATCCCGGGCACTTTCCCGGGCACTACCCCGAGCACTACCCCCGGCACTACCCCGGGCACTACCCCGCGCGCGTCTTCGTCGCTCATCTCACCGTGAGTACCAGGTAAGAGAGCACACCTCACTGGGCAGGCCGCACAGTCGGGGCGGTAGCTCCGCAGAGCGACCTCACTGCGCATGCGTCACAGGGCGGTGAGCTCCACTGTCGTCGGGGGTAAGGGCGCAGCGCACCGCGGGCCCACCACCCAATCTCACCGGGCGCACGTCCAGCGCACGTCCGCTGCAGGATGTGGTGCTCATCCTGCGCACGTCCATCGCACGCCCAGCGCACGTCCGGAACACGTTCAGCGCACGTCCGACGGCGCACGGCACGCAGCGCACGGCACGTCGAGCGACACTGCACGGCGTCGGTGGCGGCTGGGTCTGGCGGCCGCACGTCTCCGCGCACGGCGGTGCCGCAGGGTCGCCAGCTCCGGCGGCGGCGGCGACGGCGCACGGCGAACGGACGGGCCGCGGCGCACGTCCACGGCACGGCTCAGGCTGGGCGCGCCCACGGCACCGGCACGAGCGCGTCGGGCTCGCGTCGCCCACGGAGACTTGCGGTGGAGGTGAATGCCGAACGCGCGTGGTATCCGACGGACGGGAGCACCCTCGGAACACAGCACCCAGGAGCA